TGAGTCGTGGTGGCGGGCCTTCTCCTCCTGCCCAGTTGTGGGGCGGCTCTGAGGGCCCCACACCTGGGGGTCCCAGAGCGGGTGGGCTCCAGGGAGCGGGGCTGGTGGCGGATGAAGCGAGTTGTGCCCGTTCTCAGCCTGCTCAGGGGTGGCCGGTCGTGGGAAGCCCCCCCGGGCCCCTCTCCCACGGCGCGTGGGTGCTGTGGGTGTTCCCCACCCCCTGGGGCTGCGGTGGGAGCTGCCGGCTCCGGCTCCTGCACGAACCCACCCAGCTGCTTCCCGCTCCTGCACGAACCCACCCAGCTGCTTCCCAGCAGGTACAGGCAGCACGCTGCCCGCAGGCCTGCCTGCTCCTGCGAGGGCAAGCACAGGCAGGGGGGGGGGGGGCCGGGCGGGGGGGGCGCGCCCGGCCGGGCCCAAAGCCGGCTCCCCGCTCCCTGTGGGCTCTATACAGCCCCTCCGCGTGCACCTATCTATAAGGGCTGGCCCTATAGCTGGGGGTCTGCGCCCCACCGACCTCTCCCCTCTCTGCCTGCAGGTGCGGGAGATCCTGGGCTGCTGCTCCTGCCCCTCCCAGTTCCCCCTGGTCAAGGTCTCCGAGGGTAAATACAAAGTGGGCGACTCCAGCACCCTCATCTTCGTCCGAGTAAGAGCCGCCGCCACGCCTCTCACCCCATCCTCCCCCCGCCCCCCGCCGGGATCCCCGACCCTCCTCCTCCTCCCACTCCTCGGCGCGGTGGGGACCCGTCCTGAGGGCCCCCGTGGTGGGGTGGGCCCCGAGCCGAATTTATTGCCCACAAGCTGCCCCGCGTTGGGGGCCTGGTGGGCCGCTCCCCGCCTCTTTGGCCACGTCCCAGGCAGCAGGCAGGGCAGGCAGGGTGACGGGCTGTCCGCAGGTGCTGAGGAGCCACGTGATGGTGCGCGTCGGCGGAGGCTGGGACACACTGGAACATTACCTGGACAAGCACGACCCGTGCCGCTGCTCCTCCCTTGGTGAGTGCCCCTGGGGATGCCGGGGCCCAGGGAGCCCCGCCATGGCCGCTGCCACCCCACCTCATCACCTCACACAGCTCCTGGCTCTCCCTGGGGCTCCTTTCCCCGGGGCTGGGCTGCTCGGGGCGCTGATCCGACTAAAAGGGGAAAAAGGCTGGGTGAGAAAAGGCGGGGTTTTGGCCAAATTAATTCCCGAGGGGATTAACCGACAGCCTGGGAAGCCCTGGCTGGAAAAGCCGGGTGCCGGCACGACACCAAGGGGCTGGGGGGTGGCGAGGGATGCCCCCCCCCAGACCCCCCGGCGTCTCTGTTTCCAGCTCACCGCCTGCCCCAGCCCCGCGCCCC